CACCCCCACCCCCTACCTCCTTCACCTGATGACTTCTGGGATTGGCTCCAGCTCCCTTAGAACTGCTGAAAAGGACTAAGTGGAACAAGATAAATAATAGATCAGTGTGCATATTATTCATATTAGAAAATTAGGACCATATGCATGCTTTTTGTCCACGTAGGAACAATCGTTAGAATGGAAAGACAAACCTCTTCTTGGATCTTTCATTCCTTCATTATGACTTCCTTTGCAATAACAAGCCATAAACTCCACAGTGCACACACACAGGCGGCAGAGGAGCTGTCCTTTTAGCACCGCCACCTCAAACTGTTGTACACTGCACTTCAGCACTGATGGCCACCAGCCTGTTAACGCAGGGTGAAGGCTGTCTTTAAGTGCTGCACTTGACACAAGTGCCAGGAGCAAAGTCTATGAAGCACAGTGATCTGTAATTAGATTGTCTCCAGTCATTTAACATAGCGATACCATTCTCCAGCCTATGCAACCGCACTATAATGAGAAGTTTAAACCGTGTAGCATAATGGACAGAATTAAAATGATTGTGCTTGTGGAGCTGGTCTTCAAGTTACCGCATCTCACCGACTTCACGCCCCGGTACCTTCTGTTGTCCACATCTTTTGGAAGACCCCCGAGGCTTTCATTATCACAGTGCCACTATTTGGAATCAGTTAGACATGTTTACAGAGGGGGGGGGGGGGGGGCAGGGAGGAGGTCAGAGGGGAGGGGAGCACAGCAGTGTGCTGGTGGTTAATATAGTTTCCTCACAGCATCCTGGTTCCCTGGATTCTCTGCTCTTCCTCTCCCAGTCATGTAAAAGCACACAGACGTGTGATTAGGTCAACGACTGACTTTGACTTTGTCTTTAGACGTGAGTGTTTGTCCCTGCTCGCTGGTCCGGCCCTCGGTTGATGGACGGGCCGTGGCGTGCGCTGGCTCTCGCCTGATGTCGGCTGAACACTTTGAACACCCAAACAGGATAAGTGGTAAAAGATGGACGAGCGAATGTTTACAAGAGAACAAAGTGCCGTAGCCTACACATTTTTAAATGTAAACTGACATTTGGACACTTGATTGGCAGACTGTGCAGACAGCTGCTGTGGTTTGATAAGCCTGAAATGGTCTGTTCCTTATGTGGTCCCCAGAGTTTAAAAAAAAAAAAAACAGTCTTAGAATAACTGTTTTTAATTAAATAAACTTTAAGAAAATAATAATAGATTTGTGATAATTATTGTTTGTTTTCTGTATTTATATAAACGAACCTTTGAGCTGTAATTATTAAAGCCAACCAGGAAACAGACATCAATTATTATATAACTTACATAAACTTTTAGATGCAGGTTCAAAAGGTCAGGAAATGTACTTTGTTGACAAGTTGAAACACATGACAAAAAAAATGGAATGTTGTCACTAAGAGAAAAAAACGAAAAGCCACAGAAACACAAAAAAAATTACACACGTTTGGAAAAGGGAGCCATAATGAGAGCAAAGTGAAAGAAAATGATCAGTCAGAGATTCAAAAAAAAAGCAAACATTCTCAAAGTGAGAAACATGATTATCACAAACAGATGACAAAAATGATGAGAAACAACATGACTGCAGAGAGAAAGACGAAGACACAAAATCCTCAGATTTAACACCAACATACATTAAGTGAAAAATATTTTTCATTCAGATGCAAAAATAATAATCTTTTTAAAAAAAAAAAAAAAACTCAGTTAAATTAAAAAATGATGAAAGAAACAGATGCAAGCATCTGGTCTGACTTGATTTTAATCGAATCTGTTTCTACGAGTAACTTGAAAAACGACACGATTTATAAAAAGGCAGAGACGAAAACAACACATTCTCATCTGAGCAACAGATTCGTCTCCTGGATTAAACGCTAAAATAATCCATAGGTGGAGTCACTGGTTACTGATCTTATACATTTCTCTACATTTCAGCCCTACCACGAAGGCATTGTGAATTACTGGACTGCTTCTTTAAGGGGAAACTCAGTGTTTCATCAAATTGAGTGACCTCGCAGCTGTAAGGTCACTGGTTCGCTTCCCGGCCCAGGGCAGGTGGTCTCTCTGTATTAGATTTGCATGTTACCTTTCAGTGTGTGAGTTTTGGCATGAACCACTGTTGGCAGTCACCGAGTTCACCATCTGCTGGTGGGGGGGGGTGATGCCGCAACCCGCTCCCCGAGAAGAAAAGAAAAATATAATATAGGGAGCCGTAGGGGGCGCTCAAATCAACATAATCACAGAAATGGTTGGGGCGTCAGGAGATGAGAGTTAATGTGTATCTGAGGCTGTGACGTCATAAGTCAGTAGTAGAAAATGAAAGACAGACTAAACAAACCTGAGTCACTGAAGGACTTGGCCAGAGGCCAAAGGTCAAAATCCAAAGTCCAAGTTGGTCTCTGTATGACTTACTGCCCGACTCTTCATCATCAGACCTGTGCACTGTAAACACACACACACAAAAAAAACAACCCCAGAAAGAATAAACAGTTCACAGTTAAACGACCCATAATACGACGAGGTAAAGGTCTCGTTTCCTCAGGGGAAACGTCAGTATGAAGAGAAGGAGAACCAAACTGAAGGAGCCGGCGCTCTTTCCTGTCCACTTCTAGTTTCTCACCCTTCAAGACTATTTCCAGCTCCAACCGACTTTTCACCAAACTGTTTTGGTCGCTTGAAGGCTGACCTACGATCTGGACCAAATGTCTTTTCTGGTCCAAATCGAAGACATGACTTTGGACCACCTTAAGTCAACCTACCGTAATCTTTAGAATATCCTAAACCTTTTTAAGAGAGGTGGATATGTATTTGGAGTCTGTGAGAAACGGACTTACCCAAGATGTGGTAAATGTGGGATAAAAGAAATGGTTTGCCTGTGGGTCTGGAGCCACAACTTGGACCACCCAAAGTTCCAGCTGGTTTCCTTAAATGTGCCTTCCGGGGCACTGGAGGAAGATGAAGATGAAGACGACGACGAAGAGTTGACTGATGACATCATTGTTTTGTTATTTCTGTTTCACGTTGACGATGTTTTTAAAATCTGTACCTGTGTTTCTGCTGCTGGTTGGTTAATTAATTCAAAATAAAATAAAAATAAATAAATAGGAATGCACTATTGATCATTTAAAAGTACAATTAAGTTGAATGGCTTTAAACCCCCCCTTGTTTTACCACACGTCAACACACCGGGGCAGAGTGGAGAGGATGTATCTCTTCATGTGATGCATTCAGGGTCACGATGAAGGCTATAGATGAAGAAGAGCAGCTTTTTCTTCTTCTTCTTTTTTACCCCCTCCCCACCTTCTCTCTTCACACATCTGTACCAAGAACATCCTTCCATAGTCCGGGACCAATCCGTGTGATTCAGCTGCTATAGACACACATTTAATATTCACAATGGCATTAGTTTTAATTAGGGATAAATGCTGCAGCGGTCTGCTCTAATGAATGTGAAGTTATTTCTGGTTTAATAGGAACAACGCGTCATCATGTTTTAACAAGCGCGTCATTTCAGACCTGCAGCCTGTATTTAAATCCACCGAGGACAAAAAAGCGTTAATAAAAAAAAAAAAAAACCCCCAGACTGCTGCCGGTGTCGGAGCCAAGGTGAGGGTGGCTGTGTGTTGTTCCAGCCCCTCCGTCTCTGCTGCTCACAACCAATCGTAAGTTCTCCTCTGTCGGAGCGACTCCTCCGCGTGCTCCTGTCCTCGCCGTGCACGCGCCTGGTACCCACGGTCGTGAGGAGGAGGAGGATGTTGCGCGTGAAGGGGAAATGGCTGCCGAAAACAAGCCGGAAGGTAAGAGAAATATAATGGGATTAATTCACACTTATGACCGCGGCGGGCTCTTTCTTGGACAGTTGTAACTCGGTGCGGGCTCGAGACACGCGCGGCGGCGAGTGCGGTGCTTTTTCTCGGCGGAGGAACGGCTCCGCTGTTTGCCTTCCCCTAACGTGGAGACATCACCTAGCCAGCTAATATTAGCCTGCATTCTAGCCCAGCGTCTCTTCCAACACCGTAGCCCACGTCCAACAAACAGTCCGCCGGCCAAAAGTACAGCGGCAGCTCCCGGTGAATTCGAATTTTGTGGATTTTTTTTCTTCTTTTCCCCCGCCGCCGCCACGACGCGTCCTCGTTGTGACACCGCGAGCGATTCAAGTTGTTAACAACGCGGCTAAGTTAATGACAACATGTCGTTGGCATCGACTAACTTCTTCCCTTATTGCCCAGCTTCAGAAGCAGCCGGGCTGTGTTAGTTTATCCCTCAATATCTGTCTCCTTTTTTTTTTCTTCTCTCCTCCACCATCACCTCATTCTCACCAGTCCAACGTGTTTGTTTGTTTGTTTGTTTGTTTTCTTTGTTTTTGTTTCAATGTACAAGTTTATTTATTATTATTAGTATTATTTTTTGTTTCCTCCCCAACGTTTCAGAACGGGGTCGTCCAGTTCCTCCTTGAAGCGCGACACACTTCTGTAGCGGGGGGAGCGAACAGTGATGAGGGGACTTTTTATTTTTATGGATTTTTTCACGATGGTAAGGCTATAGTAAGGCGTGTTTTGGGTGATTTTTGAAA